ATGCATGTGAAGTCCAAATTTTATTGCCAGCCCTGAGCTTTCATTTGAGTTCTAGTCTCACATCTTCAACTACTTGCTGGACATCTCTATCAGATGTCTTAAAGTTATCTCCGAATTAACATGTCAAAAGAACTCATTTTCTCCTGCTAAATTCATGCCACCCCCTAAATTCCCTACTTTTGTTGAAGACACCACCATTCTTCCAGTTAGTCATGTTTGAAGCCTAGGTCTTCATTCTTATTCTTACTTGCACTATATTCATTCAGATGCCACGTCTTATCAATACCACCTCCTCAACATCTTTTGTATCTATCCCCTTCACACTCTAATCACAATGCTACCAAACTAGTTCAGTTTCCTATAGCCTCTCACTTCATAGTGGAAATAACTCTAATAGCCTACTGCTTGATCAACTTTCATTCATCCTCTTTCCTCTTCCTAACCCATTTTCCACAAAGGTACCAAACTGATATTCTTAAAGCAGCACATGAAAGGGTGGGGTTGAGTTCTATTACAAGCTGAGACAGATATCCTTCCCTGTTCCTTCTCTTCTTTCACTCTCCTAAAAAGCTCTGTTGCAGCAAAGAACCCTAATAAAGCACTGGCTATCGAGGCCTCAGCAAATTTCTTAAGTTTGGAGCTTGCATCTTTGTGGCACTAGAAATATGGGAAAGAGGTTTCAGAGTGTAGGGATGCATTCTAATGCAAGCCTGTGGGCTGAGTGGCTGGTACAGTTATGTTGCTGAGAGCATGGTAGGTTATGGGGGAGGAGGTGCTGAGTGAGCACAGGTTAAGCATTGGTTCATGGGGGTTTAATTTTTTTAGGGTTCTTGATGTTCTACACTATAAAGATGGGTGAAATTGCTTTATCTGTGGAACATAATCTCTGTTCTGGAGAGTTTTGAGACATCATTAGAATCAGAGAAAATGTCCAGTCCTCCAGCTTGTTGGTCATACGACCCAGATATCCTGACTGTGTCACTTAAAAAAGTTTCAGGAGTTCTCTATTTTCTCTAAGGTACAAACTTCTCTGGTTTACTACATATTAATTCCCATAATGAACTCTACATTCCGGCCAAACGGACCCACTTCATATTTCTCACATATGTTTTATTTGAGGAGGTGGAGCTAAGATGGCAGAGCAAAGAAAGCAGTACAGCCAAGCTCCCCTCCCAAAATTCCTCTAAAGAGACCTAGAAAATGTACAAGACCAAAAATTCAGAAAAACTCAGTAATTCATTTAGGTCAGCATAGGGAGAAAGTGTTTAGGATTCGAACAGAAGCATGTTATGCATGGAGTACTTCACAGCTCGGGGAAAAGATGTGTACCCTGACAAGAGAAGGTTCCAGATTTATTGCAAGGAACCTGCAGACCCCTACCAGGGTACTGCAATAGGGAAAAGTGGCAACTGGCAGTTTTGTAGCACACTACACATTTCTAGGTCAAAAATCCAGGGTAGACTAACAAGGGGACCTGTACCTATGGCAGCGCCCTCTGACAGGGAGGCCCTGGGTACTGGACCAAAACAAGAAGAAATTCAGAAGCAAGCAGCAGTGATGTGGTTCAGACCTCAGAAGCAGAGTGGGGTCTCAGTTCAAGCATCCAGCCCTGCCTGTGGAAGAATGACTAGGGCAAGAATTCCAGACCAAGGGGATCCTATAATTCTGTCAAGCTGAACCAAAAGAGCTTTCTGCGCTAGCTGATAGGGACTGAGTCAAACAGCACTCTACGGCTGCTCAGACTGAAACCCAGGTCAGGCACTTGCAGAGCTCGGATCACTGAAGGTCTCAATGTGCTCTGAATCATCAATGAGCCAAACATTAGTATTAAAGATTATGGCTTGGACCTAAGAAGGTTGGTCACAAGAAAATTACAGTGACTTGACCTCGGAGGTGGTACTTTCAAATCTCCATTCTCAACACCGAAGATGGCATTTTTCAAGTCAAGTCCAGAGCAGGAGATACTCTGGTTGGGGAGGACTTTGACAACTGTGTGGTCAACTACTTATTGTTGAGCATAAGCACAAGGACACGACTGAGAACGAAGAAGGCTGTTCACCTCCTCAGTGTGACTTGTGAACATGCCAAGTGCAGACCGTATGTAAACAACTCTGTTTATGAAGGTACCAATTTCTATACCTCTATCACTTGCACCTATTTTTAAGAACTAAATGTGGACCTTCTTCGTAGTACAAAGGAACCAAAAGAAAAGGCTCTAAAAGATGCCAAAACCTAGTTACAGATCCATGATTCTACTCTTATCCTCAAATTCCAAAAACTTCTGCAAGACTTCTTTAAGGATAAAGAGCTACTCAACAGTAATAATCCTATTGAGGCTATTATTGCTTATACTGCTATCCAGGCTGCCACCTTGTCTGAGGATAAATCTGACAAAGTACAGGACTTGCTGCTGTGGATGTCATGCTTCTTTTCTCTGATACAGAAACTGCTGATAGAATTATGAAAATTCTTATCAAACTTAATATCACCACTCCCCACAAAGCAGACATAGTTCTTCACTATTTACTCAAACAACTAGCTTCCTATGCTTATCCAGGTTTATGAAAATGACAAAGGATAACAAACTGTTTGGCAAATCTGAGTTCATAGGAATACCCCTCTACTCTGGGGTGTTCCTTAGATTGAAGTGACCTCTGACATTGATGCAAATGACATTCTCAAAGTATCTGCTGTGGATAAAAGCACAATCAAGGAGAATAAGATCACCGTCAGCAACGACAAAAGGCCACTCAAGTAAAGAATACATTAAAGCACAGTCCAGGAAACTGGATTATGAACAAGGCTGAAAGTGAAAAGCAGAGAGAGAAGATATCTTCCAAGAACTCAACTGAATATTATGCTTTCATAAGAAGGCTGCAGTGAACGATGAGAAGCTTCAAGGCAAAAATGACAATAAAGACAATCACAATCCTTGACAAATGTAATAAAATGGAAGAAACTGACTTGATAAGAACCAGACTGTTAAGAAGGAAGAATATGAGCACCAGTAGGAAAAACTGGAAAAGGTCTGCAATCCTATCATTCTTTATCTTTTTTTTTTAATTAAAAAATGATTTTTTTTATTTTACATTTTTGACATAAAGTCAATAAATTCATCTCTGCTTAGGCCATTTAACTGAGTACAAAAAGTTTTCATACAGTAGTGGTGAACACCAAGGAAGAAGGCAAAATAACATTTCTTCTCTTGGTAATACACTGCTTCATTTGTGGATCTTTTCCAGGTTCATCAAATACTACATTAATATCAATACTGATATTTATTTACAAATACATAGATACATGCATGTGCATATATAAATATATATAACATGAATTATTTATCTTCTATGCTTCTGTTATTTATGGAAAATATATACATATGCAAACGCATATATGTACAGTGAATAGAGTTTCAGGCCTGGAGTCAGTAAGACTCATCTTCCTGAGTTCAAATTTGGCTTTAGACACTTGCTAGCTGTGTGACCCTGGGCAAGTCACTTAACCCCATCTGCCTCCATTTACTCATCTGTAAAATGAGCTGGAGAAGAAAATGGCAAACTACTCCAGTATCTTTGCTAAGAAAATCCCTAACGGGGTCACGAGGGGTTGAAACGTGACTAAAAAAATGACTGAAATATATACACACACATACATGAATAACACAAGCACAGGAATCAGAGCTGGAGAGGTCTTAGAGATCCAAATCTTGAAGAGCAGAAGTTTAGAAAAATGTTAGTGCTGCTGTCTCAAGAGTCATTCAACCAAAGTATTGATTTGGAATCAATGAAGATCCGACCTGAATAAGAGATCATGATGTAGCGAACTGCCTCACTTTGTCAATGAGGAAACTAAAGTCCAAAACCATAGTTTTCCTCAAGGTTATATAGATAGTATATAATAATTGACATTTATATAGTGTTTTAAGATTTGCTAAGTACTTTACATGAGATATCTCATTTGATTCATATAAAGTAGGTGCCATTATATCCCTCATTTTATAAGTGAAAAATTGAGGCCAAAGAGGTTTTGACTTGCTCAGGGTCAGAGTCAACCCTATCATCCTTAAGGCTAATCAGAGAATGGTAGTCATGGCTATAGGTATATGTGGTAGATGCCTTGGTGATGGAGTAGCCCCCTAAAAGTATCTCTGCTGGATCTACTGAAGATACTGACTAAATGCACTAAAAAAAGAACATTTTGCACAGCTTTTCAAAAATCAAACGAGCCAAATTTGTAGCAAAGGCTTTGTGAAGAGACAGTTTAAAGATCGCACTTTTGTGTAAATTCTAGCCATTCTGAATACCTGAATGTCTGCAGAGGGAGAGAAGTGAATACTGTACTTTATCAGCACTGTAAATACATGGAAATGCAATTCTTGTCCTGAGGAACAGAAATCTACTTGAAATTGGCACTATTAAGAAAAAGATATTACTGGACCTTGGAGAAGACAGTTTCAGTTGTGCAGAAGGGTGACAAGCCAGACTGCAAGAGGTTGAGGAAAAGGAAGTGAGAAAGTGGAGGCAGTAAGTATAGATAGCTTTCTCGTAGAACTTTGACTGTGAAAGAACCCTGATGAGAGCTTGAGAGGATAAGGTCAAGTGAAGATTTTTTTGGATGGGGGAAATGTGGACGTATTTAAAGGCAGCATGCAAAGAGCAAATTGTTACACATATTTTGTCAGATGTTTTCAATTTATTGATTTTGCTGGTTTTTTCCCCTCTTCTTTTTCTTTAAAAAATTCTTAAGAGATTGCTCTCTTAGAGTGGGGACAGTAAGGGAAACAGGGAAATTTGGATAATATAAAATCAAAAAGATATCAATAAAAATGCAAATAAATAACTATATAAATGAAGACCCATCTTCCTTTTCCCCCTCCCAGTTAGGGAATAGTAAAAGGACTGGCATGCAATAGTGAGGGCCCAACTGAAACTGGATAAAATTAATCTGTCACGGTTTCTTTTCTATACAAAAATTTAAATATTGCAAAAAACATGACCTACCTGGCCTCTCATTACAGACATCTGATTTTCAAAAGTGGCCTTGTCAAATCCTTTATCAGTCTTTATGAGAGAAAGAAAAAAAAATTAAGAGTTACTTAACAGCAAGATCTTGTCTATAAATTATTTGCTTTAGCATGATTAATAATGAATTCTTCAATTTAATTCAAGTTACAAATTTAAATGATCAGATTTGATAATTCAACACAAAAAGCAGCATGAGTTTAATTCAAATAGAAATTCATTGATAAGTAACATTCATACTTATGCAAAGTTAACTTTGCTGAATTTTAATTTTAGAAGACAACAGCTTATTTATCAGAGTAGTGTAGTTTTATTTCTATTATTTCTAAGCATATTCATGATATTTAACTAGTAACCATATTTTTTTTTTGACTAGGATTATAAGACTAGTGGAGCAGAAAATATCAAGATTTTAGGATATAAAACTATTAGAAATTTAAAATGTCTTTGTCAAAAGATACATGGTTTTTGTGTTAAGCAGATAATAAGACATCGGTACCTTACTAAATTGTCTTCATGAATTTCTGTGACAAAAGCAACTCATCACCTGGTGACTAATCTTCTCATGACTGGCCTCACTGAACTTAAGTAGACTGAATCTTAGACAACAAACTCATTGTCCATTGCAGATTACATACTCAAAAGTCTTTCTGTATTAAAAAGTTCTTGATATTCTTTTTTTAAATATTTTTTTTTCAATTACCAAGCATTTATATGAAGCTACAATGAGGCAGCTAGGTAGCACAGTGGGTAAAGTGCCAAGTTTGGAAACAGGAAGACACATCTTCCTGAGTTCAAATTTGGCCTCAGACACTTACTAGCTGTGTGATCGTAGGCTAGTCACCTAACCCTATTTGCCTTAGTTCCTCATCTGTAAAATGAGCTGGAAAAGGAAATGGAAAAGCACTCCAGGATCTCTTCCAAGAAAACCCCAAAAACGGAGTCATGAGCAGTCGGATGTGACTGAAAAACTACTGAACAACAACACAACAAAAAAAAGCTGGTATATATTTGTGTATATATATAGGTGCTTTTCTTTCTTCTTTGATCTCCTTGGAATATATGAGTAATAATTTCTAAGTTAAAAGGTATGCACAACTTAATATCTTTTTGAGCATAATTCCAAATTGCTTTCCAGAACAGCTGGACTAACTCATGGTTGGACTAAATATGTCAATGTGCCTGTTTAATCACAGCTCGTCTAACATTTGTCATGTTCCTTTTTTTGGTCAATTCTGCCAATGTGATGAGTGTGAGGTGGATTTAGATTTGTTTTAATTTTTCATTTCTCTAATTTTTAGTGATTTGGTGTATTTTTTTCACACGTACATAAATAGCTTGGAATTCATGCTTTGAGAACTTTTTGTTCACAATCTTTCACTGTTTATCAATTGGGGAAGGTCTCTGATTCTTATAAATTTGAATCGGTACCTTAAATATATTGGAAATGAGATCTTTGTCAGAAAAACTTGCTGTAAAGATATTTTTCTAATTAACTATTTACCTTTTAATCTTATATGCCCTAGATTTGTATAAACAAAAACTTTAATTTTATGTAATAAATATCCATTTTATCTTCTATGATCTCTAACCCTTTTTGTTCATGAACTCTTTTTTACCCACAGATCTTAAAAGTTAAGATTCTTCTTTGTTCTTCTAATTTGCTCATGACATGGCTTTTTAAATCTAGGTCATACGTCCATTTGGGGCTTATCTTAATATATGTTGTGGGGTGCTGGTCTAAACCTGATTTCTGCCAAACTACTGTCTAGTTTTCCCAAAAATTTTTGTCAAAGAATGAATCCTGATACCAGCAACTAGCATCTTTGGGTTCAGTGAACACTAGGCTACTAGGTTCTTTACTACTCTATGTTTAGTACCTAACCTGTTCTACAAACCAACCATTTTATTTTTTAACTAGAACAAAATGGTTTCGATTACTGATGCTTTTGTAATATAGTTCTGAGATCTGGAAAGCTAGGTCACTTCCTTCTTACTTTTCCCCCATCATTTCTCTAGAGATTTTTGATCTTTTGTTCCTCCAAATCAATTCTATTATTTTTTCTTATTTAATAAAGTAATCCTTTGGTAGTTTGAATGTTATAGCATTAAATAAAATTAATTTAGATATTATTATTTTTATTACATTAGTTTGGCCTAGCCATGAGCAATTAACATTCTGCCATTATGTTGGCCTCTATTTCCATAAACAGTGTTTTGTAGTGGTGTTAATATAGTACCTATGTGTATCTTGGTTGGTAAAATCCCAAATATTTCATATATAATTTGGGGGTTATTTTAAATAGAATTTCTCTTCCTAATGGGATTATTACTAAACAGAAATGCTAATGATTTATGTGAAATCATTATATCCTACAACTTTGTTGGTTTCAATTAATTTTTAATTGTGCCTCCAGGGTTTTCCAAGTACACTATCATCTCCTTGGCAATAAGTGATAATTTTGCCTATATTGGCTCCCTCAATTCTTTTTTGTGTGTCAGGGGAGGGGAAGAGGGAATTTTCTAGCTAGAGCTAGCATTTCTGTATTACTTTACCATCATCTTACTGGAAAGATTCTCAAGTTTATGTGGTCTTAGGGTAAAAAGATAACCCACTACACTTTCTCAATCACCACTCAGTTTGAAATTCTTAGATCGTTGCTGGAGGAGTTGTGGGGGGTGAACAGGAAGAAAGCTGAGATGCATTGCTTCCTCCTACTCTGCCATCTTGGCTAGTCCAAGCCTTCCAGTTCTTGCACTAACTGGTAAAGTCACTAAAAAACAAGACATCAGTGCCTTGATTTCCTCATTTGTACAATGAGACGGTTGGATCAGATAACCTCTAAGGTCACTTACAACTATAAAACTATTATCCTATGTCTTCATGCAACAAGACTCTGGAGTAGGACTTTAGTGAAAGAAAAGTTTTAAAGTACTAAAAACTTTTTTCAACTATCACTTTCACTACATGAATGGCCTACTTCTTTTTTCTGATAACATATTTTCTATAGGACTACTTTGATGGAGACCTTTTTGTACATAAGCCATCATTAGTGATATGTTACTCTCCTTTATACCCACCATTCATTATCCCATTGTCCTTGGGTTACTTTCACTTTTAATTCTCCAAAGGTCCATGAGAAGATGAATGGTGGGTATAAATGTTTCATGTTTTGTAGTCAGAGCACCACTAAAAGAATAATGATATTTAAAAAATGTATTTCTGTGTCAGGGACCAGCTTGAGATTCTCAAAAACATTTGCAGCATCTCAAATGTAATCTTTTCTACTTTTTCCCTCCTATTTAATTCTGGGTCTAGTTCATTATCTATCAAGTGACTAAGATATATGTATTGATGGACAAACTCAAGTGAACTTTCCATCTTGTTCCAAGTCATATTCTAAGCAAAAGACATTCCTCATTCATGTGGGAGTTCTTGTATGGATTATGAGGTCAATTTCTTTCAAGTGGTCATATATTCCACTGAGAAAATCATGCAACATTCTGAGTTTTAACGCCATTGGCATAGTATCATCAGCAAACAGGAGTATTTCAAGGACATCATCATTTGTATGATTCTTTTTCTGCTTAGATTCTGTGAAGGCCTTCAAGAGAGAAGTAAACATATACTACTTTGTTTTATGACTCACTTTATATTCAGGGATTACTGAACAAAATTTTCTATTTTTGGCTGTTATGTATCAAAGAATCTTGTATTATTTTAGTATATTGACATTGGAGGAGTCTTTCAAGATTGCTATTTTTCTTTACTCAAATTTTTTTAAAAAATCAACATATATTATACACAATGTGATCTTGTAATCATTAAAATTTTCAGTCAATTATGGGAAATAGTTGGCTGTAGAAAACTATTTTGAAAACATATTCCCTTCTCGTTGTCCTCAAGGATACCTTTAAAGCTTATGTATATAATTTTTATAAAGCTTTTAAGATGAAAAAAATAGGCAAATGGTTTGGTAATTATTTATATTAATATCATTTCCTATTAAATATTTTATAAATTAATCCCAAAATGTTTTCAAATTTGCTGTCCAGTACAGATCTTCCCTGTATATAATTAGTCTGATTAAATCACAGCCATTCTTCTTGACTTCATTTTCTCATGTTCCATTTCCCTGTCCTTACTAGCACATTGGTGACTTAAGTGTTAAGTATTTGAATGGAGTTACACTAGCAGATTGTTCTATTTTTCAAACATTTGTCCTTGTGGTTTCATTTAGAAATACTATTAGGACAATTGGGCTTAGGTTAGGTTTCACATGGTATCTCCTGCAGTCTTTTCCCAACTACCACTTTTTTTGTTTAAACTAGATACTACTCTTCATCTTCCACTATAACATTTTGCAAATGACTTTATATATAGTCTAAACCAGTGCTTGGCTGCTAGATGTCTCCTTCTGGCAAGGAGATCAAATGTTTGCTTACTGATGGATTTCTGGGCTCCTTTGTTCTGTACATTGTGATGATTGCTTCATTTACATTAGATATATTTCTGTTAATAGTGATAGTTTGTTTTGATGTCTATCCCTTTATCCATTCCCCATTTTTCAACATCAACAGCTTGTCTGAATAAATTAGGTTGAAGTCACTGCAAATGTCCACTGTGTGCCTTCCTGCCTTTATCCTCTCTTCTAGTTTAATTTTGACTTTTGTTCTAAGTAGGTAATGTTTAACTGTCTACATGTAGCTGATTTAGAAATGTACTCTCCCATCTCCTATTAAGTTAGCAAATACTGTAATTTGGTGATGTTACTAAGCACTTATCATAGCCTTCCAACTTTCTTCTGGAAATATTATGCTATACATGACACAAGACATCTGAGTATTTTGCAACCCTGAACAGTATTTCCAACATATTTCTTGCCATCCTCTCCTATGTTCACCTTAGCACTAAAGTCACTAAGTATATGTTGACCTGATTTGGAGAAGTTTGAATTATAAACAGAACTTCTCTTCTTCTTTACTCTATGTATCTTGTGACATGATATTTCTTTTTTGTTGCCTTTGGGCATACATGAAAATCAACTCCTCAAACTACTTTAGTATTCCAATGATTACGAATTCTAATTTTAAAAAAAGTGTGTGTGTGTGTGTGTGTGTGTGTATATAAATATATGTATGTGTGTATGTATGTATATGTGTGTGTATGCGTGTGCATATATATGGTATATATAACTGGTTTATATTTTACATACACATGGTTTTCAGTTTCAAAAGTGTTTTTTACATACATTACTTCATTTGATCATGAACAACCCTGTGAGGCAAGTGGGACAAATGTCATTATTCCCACTTTACAAATGAGGAAACTGAGGATTAAACAGGTTAAGTAATCTATCTAGGATCAGACAGCTAGAAGGGTGGAGAGATGAGAAATGAATGCATATCTTTTGATTATGAGTCCAATTTTTTTTTCCATTAAATCACACTTGAAAATTTTCAGATAAGATTGTAATTACCTTAAAAAGTTCATAAAGATCTTCACATAAATCTTGCACAAAGTTCATATCAGAGATACGTGGGAGAATTAATTCTCTAGTTTCTTCAGAAAAAGGAACTTTTGCTTGAGGAAGCCAAGCCCAGTGAAAAGGATCTAATGGGGAATAAAAAGTATTTTCAGTCCATGAGGAAGTTTTAAAAACTTTTCATTTCACAAAATGATTAGATGATAAGCTTGAATATAAGGACAGGAAACCATCACACATTGATTGTATATTTCTAAGGGCTAAAGGCAATACTGTACACAAAGAAAGTACTTAATATCAGCTTAATAGAAGTATTTTGAAATTAAACTATTCAACACTGGGACCTAGACATACTGAAATAAAATTAGGCAGGAAAGCTAAATGCCCTACTAGAAATCGTTTTTAAAGATCAAGGGTTTCTTAACCTAAACATTCATATGTTCTTCACCCTCAGCAATATCTTTTAATGCAATTTATAATGCCTCAATGGCATTATAATGGCTGGGTCACCCCAGCACTAAGCCACTTACTACCCACCACCTGAAATGTCATTACTGATCACTTTAAACAATCTCTTATTTTCATAAATTGTATATTGAGAATTTGTGTTTAGAGATAAATTCTGACAGGTTGGTTGTCCTTTGTTCTCAAAGAGGACCGAAATGACATCACTATGTTGGGGTTGAGATACAGTGTGTCCGACTGTGGCTGATCACACCAACATGAGCTCAAGAAGGCTCTCCCACAGGTCAGGCACTAATTGTCCATATGAACATCCTGGAGAGAAGATGTTTAAATTTGTGTATCTCACATTTCTTTTGAGCTACTGCAATTCTGCTTTGCTCATAGAGCACAGCACCGTCTTTGACATGGGCACACCATGTTGGGCAATTCTATTGTCTCTAATGTCTCACAATCAATTCCAAAGTTCTTTAGAGAACCCTGAAAGTGTCCATGTATTATTTTTTCTAACTACCATGTGAGCACTTGCCTTGAGTAAGTTCTCCATAAAATAGTCTTTTAAGCAAATATACTTTTGGCATTCATATTGACTATGTATTATAGGAAGGCATACAACTGTACTATTATCTCCATGATTTGAGAAACAGAAATGGATGCAGCTAAGAGGTGGTATTGTTAAGTGCAGGTAATACCATTGACATTTCTATAAGCAGATAATTTTTTTTTAATCAGCAAAGTACATCTACTACAATTAAATCTGAAAACAGATATGGCTTAGTTCAATTCTTCATAATGATAAACCAAAATTTTTGTTCTATTCGGTTTTAGTCTCCCAGATCTATTGGCTAACTCCAATCTCTACAACATAAACCAGGAAAAGAAAGAGGAATAAGAAGTAATAAAATAGTTTGGTCACAGTTAGGCCAATAGAAGTAAAGGTCAAAGGAAGGTTTCTAACATAGCCCTTTCCTCTAAAGGGCCTCTTGCCTCTATAGCCACATATATAGTAACTAGAATTCAAACCATCAGAAGTTAATCATTTTTATACAGATAATGACCCAAAATATAGAGTTACTACATGGACAAACAGGTAATAAGTGATAAGTTCTCAGAGTCAAGGTGACCTTGACTGAGTTTACTATCTACTACGCGAGTCAAATTTTAAAGCTGTGGCACTAGCCTTAGGGATATGGAGAATGGGAACTTCTGCTACACAGAACACAGACTTTAAGATGCTAGCAGGAAATCTAAGACTTCACAGTGCCACACAGTAGTAGGAGCAGTAGAATGAGAGGGCTATGGTGAAGGCTTCTGGACTGGCTGTCAAACATCAGAGGTATTTTTATCTGGAAAGCACTAAGATATGATGAAAGGTTAGGTACGGGACCTGTCATAAAAACATTCTTTCTTACTTGTCTTTCACAAGCTTTTCTCTGCACATGGTAGATAGACTAGGTAGGATTATATTCCATTCACAATTTCCTTCTTCCATGGCCATGTGGGCAAACTTGGTTGCCTTACTTTTTTTTTTTATGAAAAGGAGTAATATAAATATGGATAACCACAGAATACTCACATGCTCTCCATTCATCAGGATGTTTAAAAGGAAATGCTAGACCATTATCAATTGCAGCAATTTTAATAAGAGATTCTTTACCCGTAGTCCATTCTGTTTCCTAAGGGGGGAAATTGTTTTGTTGGTAAGAAGCTTTATACACAAATACTTACATAGTGTAGAGTTCTTTTACAATAATTAAGAAAATGGAAGAAATACATGCTTTGAAGATTCTATCATAAACTTGCCAGTCAGTATTTTCACAATATGATGAGTTTTAACAACTTCATACTGGAATGGAAAGAGCCAGTGTCAAATCAGGCAGAATCTAAGAATCATTAGTTTTTTTTTTTGTTTTCACTTTACATCTGTCATCTTTATTGAATATATATAGGAAAAGGGGCTTGGAAAATATATCCTCTGCTAAAATACAAGACAGAAGTATAACAGGTGTTTTTTCCTCCTTCCAGTAAGGCTTTTAAAACATTATTGAAACCATGGGATAGATTAAATTAAGAGTGATTTTTACAAGATTAGTTTATAGTTAGAGAGATCCTTAACATTTATAGTATTTTCAAAACATTACATTTTAAATAGTACATATTTGAAACACATACGGTAGGAAAAAAAATTAAGGTTATCATTCCTTTAACATAGGAAGCAAAGTGCCTATTTACCATACTTTAAAAATCTGCACCTTCCTAAAGCACTGTACAAATTAATCAGTAAGAAAATTTCCCTTTTTTATTCCCAGAAAGAGTTTCTGAATGGTAGCTTCCAAATATAGTAAAAATCGGGGCAGCTACATGGCACAGTGGATAGAACACTGGCCCTGAAGTCAGTAGTACTTGAGTTCAAATTCGGCTTCAGACCAAACACCTGACACTTACTAGCTGTGTGACCCTGGGCAAGTCACTTAACCCCAACTGCCTAAAAAAAAACCAAAAAAACAAAACAATAACAAAAACAAAAAAACCAAATATAGTAAAATACCATTATCTACTGCCAGGACACATTCTATTTAAAATATATACGTATTTTACTTATTTCATTAAATATTTCCCAATCACATTTCACAAAATTTTTAACATTCTTTTTTTAAAATTTTGATTTCCAGATTCTCTCCCTCCTTCCTACCACTCCACCGCTTTTTGAGAAAACAAGCAATATGATATCTATTACACATGTTAAGTCATGTAACACATATTAGCATATTACAAAAGAAAACACACACACACACACACACACACAAAAAAAAAAACCAAGAAAAATTAAGTGAAAAAAGTATGCAGGGCTCCTGGATCCAGCAGATATAAATATATGAGCATTTCCTATATGCTTATAATAGACTGATTGGCAGAGTACTAAGTAAAACCCAATTGAAATATGTCAAGATAACAAGGTATGTCCCAGAAGAGATAAACAAAAAATGGAATATAGGGGCTAAGAAAAGGTAGTTTTGACAACTTTTTAAAAATTAGTTTTCTCATTGAAGGCCAATATGATAAATATACTGTTCCTTCTGTACTTTATGAAATGCTCACTTCAATAACACCAATTAAAAATACAAGAACAAAAAAATGCAAAAATCAAATTATCACTAAAAACTCAGTCATCTGGAACAGAGCAATAAAATGATTTAGGATGTAAGCTATCTAAAATTCTTTGATCAAGTAAAATCTGAATATATAAAATCAGAAATACATAAAGATTAGAAAAAGTTTTAGAAAATGCTTCATTTAACATTTTCTTAAATGTTTAAGGGTTCCCACCCCCCCAAAAAAACTTATTCAGTCATCTTGTGAGCTTTTCTATACCTTTGGTATATTTGACTGAAATCCAATGTCATTTGTGTTACACACTTGTCATTATTTCTTTGACAATGGCTTCCTTGCTATCCCTTACACATGACATTTGTATATAACCAATTTTTTGGTTGCATATAATATACAAACACACATATAATGGTTGTTAAATTTATGTGTAGTCTATCATGATAAATTTTTTTTAAAAAACTCCTTTAAGCAATTATTCACAAATAAGTTTATATAACACTTTGTTATGTTCTAAGAAATATTCAATTCCATGCAGTGAAGGGTAATATTTGCATAATGCTGTTCACTAATCTACGGAAATGAGAGAAAAAGTAGACCAAAAGGGGAAGTAGCAAATAACAGATGTGGTAACAAAACCTTTTTATACTTAAAATCAATAGAAACTAATGGTTATCCAATCCGAGATTTCAAAAACTCCCCAAATTAAATTTAGTCAGTTTCATTTTCTGAGCCTATTACAAACAACAAAATGTAAAGAAAAAATCATCAACATCAACAACCACCACCAAAAAAAAAAAAAGGAAAAGAATAAAGGAAAGAAAAACAAGACAATGAAAGAGAAAAGATGAAAGGAAAAGGGGATAAGAAGGAAAAACTATAGAAGAAAAACATTAAATGTTAAGAGGAAAAGGAAAACAAGGAATCACAAGGTCAGAGAAGTTGAAATGTTGCTCTCCTTTAAATTAAGACATTACAGTAACGGATAACAGATACATCCTTTTATTTTCTTACCTTACTGGAATTTTTACTCCCATCATTCTGTTTTTCATATCGGACTAACCAATTATCATTTCCCCTGTCTTTCAAAACAAAAATGTTATTTTATTTCATTTCTGTGTAAACTACAACTTATTTTAGAAAAATCTAAAGTCAGCTCTCAACTATCTACCTGTGTCTTACCAATGTCACTGATTATCTGTGGCACATTTCAAATTTATACCTGGCTTCCCCCTGCCATCTAGCATCACTCTAAGAAAATAGCTTTCTCTGCTGTCAGTTTGAATAGGTGCTAGAAATGTTAACTTTAGACTAAGCCAAACTGAAGTAGAAAAACAAATCTTTTGAAAAAAAAATTACATAATGCAAATTCAAGGCACTGTTTCTTTTCATTAATGTATAAAAGCAATAGCTGAATGTATTTATAGTTTATGCTATTATATCTATGAATGGTCACATAACGCACTAATAGGCACTTAAAGGATATATGGATATCACACACTCAGTAAACTCTTAATTATCTATGTTTCTCAAGGGACATTTTCAATATGAACATATCCGAGGAAATTGTTAACAGGTAATGGAATTATTATTTCCACAAAGGTGGTCAAGAAATTCTCCTTGAAAAGACTGTCTTCATAGCAGAATCCTTTCTGCCCTACTGAGTCAGGCCTGTATCTCTGCTTTCTAGGGCCCCTGATGGCATCATTTCCCACCTGGCTGACCTCCTAGATTTCATGATCTTCAGAAACTCATCATTCTACAAGATGAAATCAACTGTAACTCACATCTCCTCAGATCATGTCTCACCCTAGCTGCAGGACTTCAACAGGCTGTACCACTTCCCCCTGGGTAATCCTCCCTTTTCAGCTTCTTCTAGTGTGCTGTGTTCCCCCATTAGATTGTGAGCTTCCTGAGGGTACGGGCTGTCTTAAGCCTTTCTTTGTATCCTCAGTATTATCAAGGTGCCCAACAAAGAATAAGCCTTTAATAAATGTTTATTGACTACTGATTATGCTAATGCCTCTAGGATAAGATACAAATTCCTCTGCTTGGCATTAGAGCTTTTCATAATCTGGCTTCCACTTACTTTGAAGGTTGGTTACTCACTACTCCCCTTTATTACATACACTCAATCAAGTGTTCCAGCCAAATTAGCCACCTTGTCCCTATATATAATATTTCATCTCCTGCACAGGTTATTGCCATGCCAGGAATTCTTTTCTTTCTCATCTTCCTCCTGGAATCCCTAAGTTCCCTTAAGGGCTTAAGCTCAACTGCCCCCTTCTTAAATAGAACTTTCCTGACTTCCCCAGTTGTTAGAGTCCCCACAAATTACTTTGTACCTATCCTGAATCTGTCTGTGAATACTGGGTTTGCCCCTGGGAAGCTCCTTTAGGGCATGGTCTATCTCACTTTTGTATTTGTATCCCCCGTGCCTAGCACCTAGTGGCTACTTGATAAATGATGTGTTTGACAGATTTTCTGTCAAATAGAAAGTAGATGTGGTCTTGATCTTGCTGCCAAATGTTTATAGTTCAAGATCCTAACAAGGCTTAAAAGACAACAGTACCTTACACCTTACATTGGCTATAAGCTATTGGCTATAACTGAAGACAAAAGTTTAATACCTGTATTTCGGGTGATGTAATCCAAAACAACTAATCTCTCAAACTGTGACTGAAGCTGTTTTCTAACATTCTCAGGTAAAGGATCGGCTTCAAATTTCCTAAGCCAATAATCAGCTTCCTTATAACAATCAACAAACAGCTGAAAGGAGCCCACCTGTAATTTTAATGGCTATAGTTAGAAGAGGTAAATAAAACATAAAAAGACCCAATTTTTAAGTATAACCAATTTCTCTGTAACATTAAACAAATGCTCTATGTAAACTTTCAAAAGAAAACAAAGCAACTCAAAGACCTCTCAAAGAGGACAAACATTTCCTCTTTATTTTTATCCTAAGCCATCACATTTCTGTGGTTAATTTAGAATGTCAGTTTCCTTAAGCTCTCTCTGTAAAGAACTTTTAGATTAAATAATGGAAATCAGAGATACAAAAATATAACTTCTTTATTTAGCAATATTTACCCTTTCTGACAAAGAGAATAAAAAGCACGTAAAAGTTTTAAGTTTGATGCCCATGTGAAACATATGGCTGTGCGTGAAATTGTTTTGGAATTTCTCTGTCTGAATACTAGATTTTAAAATGTCACAACTAAACAATCAAGTAAAAGTTTAAAAATATAACTATTTTTGCTGTTTAAAAAAAATCTAGACATTCTGAGGTTTCTCCCAAATAAAATTTTTATAGTAACTTACCTTGGGAGGTAGTCCTATTCGATGGAATTTTTTGCCCACGCTTGGTACTTTTTCTAGAGCATATTTTTTGCCTTTTGATTTTGCACGGTCTATTGCACTGTAGTTAAATGTCTCACTCACAAGCCAGACCACCTAAAAATACATACTTTAAGTTCTATATCAGAAGTTAAACGTCACTAGTGATGATTACAAAACAACAGAATCTGATAAACACAAAGCTCAGGAGGCCCAATAACAAGTAAGGTCTAATTACTTTGTTAAACTTTATAATAAGGTTTTGTTAAGAACTATGCAGCCAGGCTTTGAGCATAGGTCCAGTGATAAAAATATATGTCTATTTTTAGAGGATCAGTCTAGTTAAGTTTGGAGGGACTTGCCACCAGGCTTATTGCAGGACAAAAGTTTCAGTCACAGTACCTCATGAAGATGTTCTACTAAGTTTTAGAGGGTTTCAATCTGAGTTGGTAAGGGGACAACCCACAATGATGAAATCACAAATTCTTGAAAAATGTACATGTATATATTTTTTCCCTTTTAGGGAATTATAAAAATTTTATTTTTGGAGTTTATGTATGTGTATGTGTATGTGTATATATATATATATATATACACACACACACACATACATATACATATATAATATTATACATATATTTCTATAGTTTATTATTGGAGTTCATGGCTTTATGTGTCTTTGTATTTATTTTGTTTGCTTATTTCTTTTATTGGGTAATCACATTTACAATAAATATTTTTTAAAAATCAATTTAAGAGTCATGATTTGATTTATGAACCAGTCTACACGGGCAACAAATTTTACGAACACAAACTGTAGCATGTTTCAGGGAACTGTTTTGAAATCATATCACATACAGAAATGGGAGAGAAACTGAGGAAAAGAAATCTTGTGCGGTGACAGGACAGCACCAAGGATGAATAGATTTATTCTATAACTTCAGAAGGCAGAACTAGAACCAATGGACAAAAGTTAGAAAAAGCAAATTTTGGTTTGAAATAATAAACCTGAAACAAAACTGTTTAAAAAATGTAATGGGCTACCTCATGAAGGAGAAAGCAGACATTTAGTAAGAGTATTTAAGCAGAAGCTCAACAACTGTCCATAAGTGATGTTGTAGAAGAATTGCGCAGTTTAGGTAAGAGTTGAAACTGGATGACTTCTGAGGTCCTTCTTGATCCCAGCATTCTAAAATGCCAGGGTAGAAACTCACCCAAGCAACAAAGCCCCCCAATATAACCTAAAAGAAGTTATTTATTTAATATGAATGTGTAGACATTGAGGGCTTTTGTCAGCTTGGGTGAGGAGTCTCAATTAAAGAATGTCAAAAGCAATCACAAATCCATGAAAGGGTAAAGTGGGAAAAAAAAAAAGCAAAAAAACCCCAAAACCCTGAACAGAACAGAGTACAAAGCCTCACTATTTTCATGCAATTCTGAAAGTAAAAAATAAAGGTCTAAAAAAGAAGCATTAAAAAATAGAAATATTATCAGAACACTAGGGTATCCTTTTGTTTTCATGAAATCTTTAAATCCTCACTTTCCAACACCTAGTTCCTTTTCATTCTAAAGTTCTTTCCCCATCTTTTTCTTTTACATGAACAGCTCCTAAATACTCTTATCTACACTAGTGTCAACAAATCTCCAATCATCTCCAACCTAACAGAACACAGGAGCATAGACAGAAACCTGGAAGGACCCTTAGAGATCATCTAGTTCAACTCCATACCTCCCCTTCTCCCCTGCCTCAAATTTAATAGATGAGGACACTAAGGTCTGGAGAAGTTAAGTTGTTAGGACGTTAAGTCCAAGATCGTGCAAGGAATAAGTGACAAAGGAAAGATTTGAACTCAGTTCCTCTCACTACAAAGTCAGTGCTCTTTTTCTCTGTATCACAATGTCTCTCTAAGACTTGGTAAATGAGTCAACTTGAAGCACTGTCATAAGGAACCTTTATACCCATGAAATTGTAACTAGGCAGGCTTACTCTATATAACACATAAAATATTATCTTTAAGTTAATTATCATTTTACCTTTGTTTTTGGTACAACTCCCAGACCAAGCTTTTCATCTACAACATAGGCACCAGCTTCAGAAAGGTATCCCTGATTAGGTACAAGGCAACCTCTGCCAAAACAGCAAGGGCAGCAGATCTTATGAAAATATTTGGTCCATTTTGGATTTAGATGACCATAAGGCTCTTCAGATTTTGGTTTAAAGACACCAATAATTTTCTAAAGAAGAAAAGTAACATAATGAGGTTTTAATTATTTTACACAATTGAACAAAAATTTATAAAACTGCATTCTATTTTTTAATAAATCTCATTTTAAAAAATAATGGATCTTAGCTGAATTCCGAATTTCCTGAAATAGATGACTTACTCTGTACAGTTAAAATTAGAATCAGTGCTCTCCTGCTACCCAAACTAGTGCTCTTTTTGCCCCTATAGTATGTTATCTTCTATTATAATAGTAAAAATTCAGATTTATTATAGCACGTGAAGGTTTACATTAATTTTTCTTAACATTACATTCTTTACATCAGTTTTTTTCTTTTAGAAACCAATTCAAAATACTTTACCTTCCTTGTGACAAAGCAGTGCCTGTTCTTATGGTTAAAGATTTCATGTACTCAAATGATCTAAACTCTTAATAAATCATCATTATTTGTTTCTTACAAATAATATATTCAGAGACCTGGAGATTGTATTTTCTTTTGAGACAAGAAATAGTAGCTTTGCAATAGAATTATAGTACATCAAAGTATAATAACTAGTATTAACACGAAGATACAAAGCATGAAAAAAGAACAAGAAAATCAAATTACCCACCTATGTTAAATGAGCTTAAAAAAAGCTAACAATAAAAATTTTTAAATTCTAAGAATTTAGCGTTTCCAGTTTTCTTAAACTAGGTCAGTTAAAACCATAGTAGCTCTTTGTGGAAATGAGTGTTGGATAAGTATTAATCAAAAGGTTTTGGAAAAAGTTCTTTAAGGAGGGGGAAAACTAGGATAGAAATGAGATGGTCAAATAAATTTATTTGTTGATCAGAACCATATATGGATTCATTTTTGCTTTTTCTTCTTCTTCTTCTTCTTCTTTTTTTAAGGCAATTGGAATTAAGTGACTTGCCCAGGGTCACACAGCTAGTTAAGTGTCAAGTGTTTGGTCTAAGGCCAGATTTGAACTCAGGTCCTCCTGACTTCTGGGCCAGTGCTCTATCCACTGTGCCACCTAGCTGCCCTCATTTTTGCTTTGCTAACTTCAAATAACAAATCGAGACAATGGGCATATGACTAGGCAGTGGTTTGTTTGAAAAAAAGATCATTGTATTTTTAACAGATTGCATCTTTGATATTGAGTCAAGAGCATAACAACTCTAGATTAATCTTAGGAGAATGGTATCCATGGCAAGTAAAATGATAGTCCTTTGACCTGGTCAAGCCACATCTAGAGTACAGTATTCCATTTTGGGAGCTACAGCTTAGTAAGGAGAAGCTGTAGTATATTACAGAAGGGTGACCAGAATGATGAAGGGTATAGAGACCATGCCACTATGAAGTTCTGTTGAAAGAACAAAAGATGTTTACCACTGAGAAGAAAAGACATGATATCTATAAAGACATGAAAGAATGATGGATAATTTAAAAAAAAAAAAAAGGTTAGATTTGTATCTGGTTAGCCCCAGAGTACACAACTAGAACCAACAGGTAGAAGGTGTAGAGAAACAAATTTAGACTTGGTATTACTATTATCAACACATTTAATTAAGTGCTTACTCTGTTCGAGACAGAAGTAGCAAAACTTCTAAACTCAGCTATCAAAAAGTGGAATATGCTGCCTTGAGAGGCAATGAGTTGCCTTCACTAGAGTTCTTCAAGCAAGGACTGGATGACTACTTACTGTAGAAGATATTATTAACAGCCTCCAAAATTTCTCAAAATACCATCTGTGTAATTGTCGTAGCCTCTTCCCCGAGCAGAATATAAGCTTCTTGAGGACAAGGAAATGTTTCTATTTTGTTTTTCACTCTCTAGTACCTTGCACATAGAAAGCACTTAACATATGCTTGTTGAATCTTTAAATTCCAACTGAGGTATATTGGTTGGCCTCTGAGTTTCCCTTTGAGCTCTGAAATTGTGTGACTGAAATGGCTGGCATAATCTCTAAGATGAGATAGTTTCTCCATGAAATAACTATACTCAACTTCACCAAATTTCAAAAGTTCTGAAAATTTCATCAGCTTTTAAAACCATACTTTAAACTACTGAAGGCAATTACTATCTGTATCTGACTTAATAGCACAATGTCTAGAGACTTAGCAATTATCAGGACTTAATAAAATATTTTAAAATTAACGCTAGGCAATGAAACAGCAAATTTATGAGTTTCAGCACAAGTCAGCCAACTAAAGTACTATATTCCTAAATAAAAGCATTTTATTAAGAACTGCTGTCTGTTTTTTATTTAGGGTTATCAGTCATTATTAGTTATCAGTTATTGAGGGTTGACTTCCTTTTCTGAACAGAAAGTGATCATGAGTTTAATGGAAAAAATCTCTAGAAACACTAATTAATTCTATAACTATTTTAAACAGGTTTTAGTAACCAAATAAGGACCGAACTCCTAATATTCAAAATATTTATCTTTAAAAATCTTTTATGTCAGAAAAATTATGTCAAACTAAAAAGCAGACAACAAAATAATACACACAATTCTGCAAAAACACATGTAAGTAAAACATAAATAAAGATTGGAATACAAATTTAACAAAAGTTAAAAGTTTAATAAAATCATTAGTTCTATTTCTGTAAGAATTGTTGGCCAGAACTTTTAAAAAAAGATTCATACAGGAAAATACAACATTTCCTCCAAAACTGACGTTAAATACATTTATTCTATAAAATTCTCACCCCCTTGGGATCCTTGACAAAATAACTTCCACTTGAACCTTGGGAGATTCTTTCTGGGAGAACTCCAGAGTCTATTGCGTGTTCTGCTTTCAGTATCGTGTCAGTAAATTCTGGATCCTCCAAGAATACGTTCATCTCTGCAAGACCTCCCAAATTTACTGCATTAAAAATATGTTAATACAACATGAGATTTTACTAAATTGAAAAAAAAAAAAAAAAGACAAGACAGCAATAGAGGTGTGATCCAGGATTCCAAAGTACAAGTGAAACAGTATTATTTGATTTAAAACAATACAGACTAGGCCATTGATGCAAAGGAAAATGGTATAGTATTACAATAACTATTTTAATCTTTGAATTTTCCTATATTTATTACTAAAGTTCAGATAGTATAAAATGAAATAATGATTCACAGCACTGTACTTTCTGGTTAAACTTTCCTTAATCATTAGCAGTTCTTTACCATTTTCAGTCAATTCTCAGAATGATGGAAGGATGCCGTGACATGGATAAAAGAAAACAGATGAATCACCAAATTATTTTCATCTGTATTTGGAAGATATGTTGGATAACAATATTTTGGGGATTTTAAGAATTCAAAATACAGGAAAATTTGATTAATTTGAACTGTCACTTAAACGTCTGAAAGAAGCTAGATATTTGCTTTACTGATTATAAACAAAGTATGTTCAGAAATTTCTATTAAAAGATTCTAGGGGCAAATTTAATCTTCTTAAAAGCATAAACTTCTCAACTACTTTAGAAGAATTTACTTGAACACAATATGGAGTATTCACCTTTGCAAGGTTATTGAAGGGAAAGTACTCAGTAAACTTTAAAGCATCATTAATGTATATGTCAAGTATTATAACTATGTTATTGTTACTACTACTACATAGCCAATGTCAGTTACAAACAATTAATTCAAGTGTCGAAGGATATATTATCTATACTAGTTCCCTAATTCAAGATATGATACAAACCTAAAAGCAATAAAATAGTATATATTTTAAAACTATTCCATATTTCAGGCTCTTCAGACCAGTCTTCCTCACCATCTAATACACTTATGTTTTATTATACCTTGAATGCCTACTTTAAGAACTTATATTCCAAAAGTTCATTTTAAGCTGGTCCTTTGAAATTCAGTAAAAACATGATCATATAGAAGCAAAGTTATATGTGGTGGCTGGGTTCTTGGGACAGTCCACAGAAGGGCATTTAGCCTAGGCCAGGGGTGGGCCATCTGACACTTTATTAATAGTGCTATAGAACACATATAACAATGCTTCTAAGATAGTCACACAGTGAGTTAGTAATAAAAGCATAATGTTCAAAGTGAGGAAGGTGATAGTTGACTTTACTGTCATATGAGACCTGACTGAAGGAACTTGGGATCCTGAAAAATAAAGGAATGGGGAGGTTGGGGTGGGGAGAGAGACACATGATGGTTGTCTCAAACTATCTGAAAGACTGTTGGGCAGAAAAATTTTTATTTTATTTGTTTTGCTTAGTCCCAGAGGGCAAAACTAGGATCCAGAAGTGGAAGTGATAGGAAAGTAAATTTCTTATCAATATTAAAATAAATTTATTAATAATTACAGTGATCCAAAAGTATATAGGCTATTAAAGGGAAAGCCTAGACAACTATTTGCTGGGAATGTTGTAGAAGGGATAACTATGTTTTGGCCATACAACTTCCTAACTTCTAACCTGAAGTGAGATTGTTTGGCCATGAGACAAGAATATCCCTCATGAGTAGGCTTGAAGGAATAGGGTCTGTTCCTTAGCTGACAGGACAGGGTAAAAAAAAAAAAATACCGGGGGAAAAGATATTGTCTAAGTCATGATCTAAGGGAAATATGCTGAAGTCAAACACAGAAGCCTACAGAGGCAGAAAAATCCTGAGGTTTCCCTATCACCTCCTGATTCCAGGGCTGCCTGTCTACTTAACTTTCTATTGTAAAATCCATTATTTCAGGGGTTCTCTCTTCCCCAACCTCACTGAAGAACAGATTGCAATCTCACTATTTCAAGGACAGGGGGTTAATAAGCAAAAAGCTAGTATCTCTTTAAGGTATTGAGTTTTTACTGCTAACAACAATGAGAAACAGAGGGTTAACAAATATAGCTCTCCCCATCCCACTTTTTCTCACGTTCTTTATTCACTTAGGACCTGTAGGGAAAGACAAAGACTACACAGATAACAGTGCTGTCACTGGGTACACAAAAACCGAATTTAGATTCATCCATGTTCAGGAGCATAAATACTTAGAGACTACAGGACATATTTTAACATAAGAATGGCCCAAGGCAAAGAGGAAGAAGGGGTGAGAGAGAGGAAGTCTAGAAACTGTTAGAGGAATTGTTACAGTGTGGAGAGAAGAAAAACATCCCTCCTTTCTCTTTTTCACTTTTGGCACCTCCCTGCCCCTAACATACACTAGGCTTTCACTGGGGTCAGTGCGAGTTGCCAGACTAAATAAGAGTATCTTAAGAGCAGTGGTGGGGCAGCTAGGTGGTGCAGTGGATAGAGCACCGGCCCTGAAGTCTGGAGGACCTGAGTTCAAATCTGGCCTCAGACCAAACACATGACACTTACTAGCTGTGTGACCCTGGCCAAGTCACTTAACCCCAACTGCCTTAAAAAAGAAAAAAAAAAACAGTGGTGCTACAGTGGCAAGGACTGGGAAATGCCAAATGGCAGCAGTTGGAAAGGGAATGGCTATCTGAAGGCATGGCGAGCAGTTGTCTGATAATTCAAATCTTATGTAAAGAAGAGTACGTACTGAGTTAGTTGGGTACTGGCTATATTTCAAGCTAAATAACAAGTCCACCACTGAAGAATGTCTCAATTTTGTAACCTATCACTGCAGACTCAGCTAAGAAGCTGACTCTTCCATGAAATCATTCCTAGAAGTCTGTCAGATCTCTCCTTTACCCCTTTATTCCTCACTCCCTATTATACTTATTGCTGGTGGGTTTCCCAAAAAGTTTCTGAGCACAGACCCTGCTCTGTGTTTTGCTTCTATCTATATTTCCTCAGTGCCTGGCATACCAGCAGTGCTTATTAAATATTTACCGAACTGAATCCTATCTGTCAGCTCAACTTTCTGCTAGGAATAATATTACCCCAAAATAACAAAGGACTAACCAAAAGTAAAGTTGGGCTTTTACTTTTATCCTTAATTATTACTATTGGCTACATTCTGTGTAGGAGGAGGCAATAGTTATTATTCTTACAAAATGCAAAACTTCCTTCTGTAATATCCCTGACAGGCTGTTACCCAGACTTGTTTGAACACTTATTTATAGTATGCTCACTACCATACTGGAGAGTCCATTCCATTTATGAAAAAGGTTCATAAAGAAACCTCTCCTAATCAGGCTTTGGCTTGTCAATGCCCCTTTCAAGATGTGACACTCCAAACTGAACACAATACTTTAAATATGATTTGACCAGGGCAAAGTACAGTAGGACTATGATCTCTCTTGTTCTGAGTACTATATTTCTCATAACGAAGCCTAAGATCTAACTCAGTTTCACAAATACTTATTAAGCATCTCATATATGCAATAAACTGTGCTAAATGGTAGAGATAACAAAAAAAAAGATGCATCAGAGAGCTTACACTTCAGTAGGGGAAATAAGATGAGTGAAAATAATTATAATAAGGAGGTTATCATAGGAGAATCCAAGTAGAATATAAAGTGAGAGATCTGATAAGGGAGGTCACATTAAGGTGGGATTTAGGGAAATCTTCATGGAAGAAGGATAACTAGATAAGGCCTTAAAGAAAAGTGTGGAATGAATTGAACTGGCAGAGGTGTTCATTCCAGGCCTGAAGAAGAGGATGTACAAAGTCTAAGAGACGGGAAAAGACAACATGAAATTAGGGAACAGATGGTTCTCCTCAAACACAGAAACTGTTAAAGGTATTAGTATGTGGTAACGCTGGAAAGGTAGGTTGGAGCCAAACTATGCTGGGTCCTAAAAGACCTTAATTAATAAAGCTGAGGAGTCTGTATTTTATTCAGCAAGAAATAGGGAGATTTTTGAAGAAAGAAGTAGTATGGTCAGATTTGTATATTAGAATTATTGTAGCAGTAACATGACATATTAAAAATAGAAAAATCCAATATTATCTTTTATTCGTTACTGTCAATTATCCTAACATTTCATAAAATCACTGCTATAGCTACAGTTCTAAGACAATCTGGAGACAGGGAGTTAGAAAGTTAGAAAGCATTATAATAGCCCAAGCAACAGCTGCTCTGAGCAGAATGAGGGGGTCATTGAACAGGCAGCACAAAAGATAACAACAGAGAGAGACTAGATAAGGCTTTGCAGCAGACTGGATGAAAGGGGAAAGAAGCAAAAATGATTCATGTTTCCAACCTGGGTGACTGAAAAGACAATGGTAATACCAACAGAGAGAAGGAAGTTTAAGAAGAGTGGATGGAAATGGGTTGGGGTTGGGGAGTAGGGGTGAGAAAGAGAGAGGAAGAAATGTGTAGTTTGGGATATATTAAATTTGATGTAACAGTAGTACATCCAGGCAGAAGTTCCGGTGCCCATCAGGATCAGGAAGATTACCCTAGCAGCAGTGGTAGTTACATTACAAGATCATAGATCTCGAACTGGAAGGGACTTTAAAGGTTATTTAATCTAATCCCCTCATCTCAGAAATGAGAAACTGAGGCCCAGAAAGGTCAGGTGATTTGCACTGTTATGGAGATATTATGGTTCTGTACTGGGTTGCAAATTTGAGTCTAGTAACCCAATTCAGCACTCCTAAAGAAGGTAAAGACTAGAGGTGGAGAGATCAACTGGCAGGCTATTAAAATAATCTAGACAAGAGTAACTGAAGGCCTGAACAATAGTGGGAGATCCTCTTTACTTACAAAAGTACTTACATTTAAAATAAACCAGAAAGATCTATTTTGTTGTAAATTCAAAGATTTGAAAGATTCTGCCCTAAGGAAGCCTCTCTGTATATAAAATGAATCCAAGATCTCAACTGTATTAGCAGGATATGGTACAAGGGACAGTGGATGGAATCTGAAGCTGTGGGTTCAAATGTTGGCTCTGACAGTTATTAGTTCTATGTCTTTGCGCAAATTTATCACATCACCATTTCTGTGCTTCACCAGTAACAGATGATGGTGTTAGGCTAGTTTATTGCTAAGGTTCTTTGCAGCAATTTTGTGGTCTATTACCTACACTGCTTTAGACAGTATTTCCAAGCTAATTTTGTTCCTGAGTATCTTAGGGCTTGAAATATACATCTAGGAGTAGGAAGCACCCTGGGTATATTGATGAGTAGACAGAAGTAGGTTGGGGAAATTTGGAACAAAAAAGAGGCCATCAAACCTATTTTCACTGCCAAAAAATTACTACACTTAAATACGTTAGGTATATGTCAACTGTCACATTAACTTTTCTGGAAAGGAAAAATATCCTTATTATCAACATTTTCCTCATCAAACCCCAATTAATCTACCATAGCGCACAATTTAGGAAATGCTGGTGGGCTTGAGGTTACAGCTAAACAATTGAATAGAAGATCAATGAAACTCAATTTAGATTCAAAGTGGAGATATTCTTATGGGAAGGGCTGAACATCTGTCTATTATCATCACCCTGATTGACAATTTGCTTTAAAAAAAAAATCAATAAACATTCTCCATAAGGATATCAAATTAATTCAAAACGTAAGCCATACACATGCATACAAAACTTTTTTGACAATGCTTACAAAGTTTGAAATTCTCCATATGGATATCAAACTAATTCAAACCCTGTTAAACCACACACAAACACACACTGACAATGTTTACAAAGTCTAAAATTCCCCAAAGGATTATCAAACTAACTGAACTTTGTGTACATGTATTTGCACGCACACACACACACACACACACTCACTCTTAACAATTTTTACAAAGTTTTAAATTCTCCATATGGATATCAAACTAGTTCAAACCCTGTTAAATCACACACACACACACACACACACACACACTTATTAACAATGCTTATAAAGTCTAAAATTCCCCAAAGGATTATCAAATTAACTCGAACTTTGTGTCCACACACACAAACTTTCTGAACAACGTTTACAAAGTTTGAAATCCCCCACAGGCATATCGAAGTAATGCAAACTTTGTTCAAACACATATACACACACACACACTCTTGGACAATGCTTACAAAGGTTTAGATTCCCCACAGGGATATCAAACGAATGCAAACGTAGTTAAACCACACATACACAACTTTTTTATGACAATGTTTACAAAGTTTGAAATTCCCCACAGGGATATCAAACTAAGGCAAACTTTTTTTAAGACTCACATACAACTTTCTTGACAATGTTTACAAAGTTTGTAATTTCCTAAAGGGATCTCAAACGAATGTAAACTTTGTCAAACCACACACACACACTTCTTGACAATGTTCACAAAGTCTGGAGGTCCCCACTGGGATATCAAACCAACACAAACTCTGTTGCACGCCCCACACCCCTTTGGTCGGACCACGCTGGCGAAGGCTGAGATTCTCTCCGAGAATGACCAAGTGGACAAAGGTTATGACGTGACGCCGGGGGCTGGGCACAGCTTTGGGGGCCTCGCGGGGGCGGGGAAGGCCCGGGCCGGTTACCTGCCGAGAAGAGGCGAAGGCGGTCTACGGTCCCCAGAGCCCTGCGGCCCCGGCCCCGGCGGCCCGGGTCGGCGGCTTCTCCTCCCGGCAGGAGCAGCTCTTCCTCCTCGTCCCCCGGGGCTTCGCCGCCACCGCTCCCTCCTCCCCCGGGGTCCCTGACGACCCTCACGGCGCCGCCCGGCGGGGCCCGGCCCGGCCTCGGCAGCAGCGGCTCCCGCTCCTCGTCCTCATCCTCGTCGGGGCCCCCAGCGGCTCCCCGCGGCCCCGGTTCCCCAGCCTCCGCCATGGCCGCCGCCGCCGCCTCCTCCTCCTCCTCCTCGCGCGCGGAGACCTGGAGGCGAACGGGCTCAGAGCAAAGGGCTGCCCTGGTCCCCGCTGGACATCGCAGCGCCCAGACCACGGCCGGCTTCCCGGAGGCTTCCCTCCTCCCGCCGCTGGGCTGCGCCACCGCCTCCTCCCCGAAGCCCGGCCCCGCCGCCGCCGCCGCCGCCGCCGCCGCCGCCAGCGCGCAGGCGCGAGACCCCAGGCCTTCTGCCGGCACCCCGGAGGGCGGGGCCGGGAGGCGGAGCCCGGGAGAAAGCCTCGGGATTTAAAGAGCCAGGAGCCCACCTGCCACGTCGTCCAGAAGCTGGGGTAGGGAGCTTCCGGTTCTGGACGCCTAGTTGTGGCTCCCTTCAGCTGAGTAACGCTTCCAACGTACTTTCCAAAACCTTCCAAACTACTTTGTGCACAATGACCATGGAAGGCAGGTCGCACAAAAATCATTAACTCACCAGCCCCAATTTACTGATGAAGAAACTGAGGCCCAGAGAGATCATAAGGTCACTGATTTAGAACTGGAAGGAGCTTTATAAGTTGTTTGGTACAAACCCATTATTTTACAGATGAAGAAACAAGCCAGATCAAATAAACAGTAACTAACAAAACGCAGATTTGAACTAGAACTCTCAGACTCCAGATACTCTGGCCTGCCTTTCCCAGTCACTGATTTTAGTAAGTGTGGCTACCCTCCCAAATTCACATTTTCTGAGTATTCTTTCCATTACATCACACAATTTCATCTAGACCAGTGGTAACCAAACTTTTTGGATTGCATACAAAAATCAATACTTTTTTTGTGAAAACATCCTCATATAGTAAATAAGTAAATATTTATATCCTCAATATTGAGGATAAAAATATCTTCAATAAGTAAATGTGTATTTACGTATTTATAAGTTATTGACATATACTACTGTATTAGAGTCATCAACATTCATTAAGTACCTATTATGTGCCAGGCACTGTGCTAAGCACTAGGTGTTATTATGTATGTTATAAAACTTACACAAAATTAGAAATGAGAAAGCATGAGATAGAGATAAAATAATATTTGACCCTAGAATCAATAGGGAGCCACAGGAAGTGAGTAAGGAGGTGACACAGTCAGATTTGAGCCTTAGAAAAATCCTTTGATAGGCAGATTGAGGATGAAATGAAGAAGAGAGAAACAAGACAGGAATCCAGTCCAGGGATGGGGAATCTGCAGCCTCAAGGCCACTTTGGGGCCTTCTAGGTCCTTAGGTGTGGCTTTTTGACTGAGTCCAAGTTTCACAGAACAAATTCTTTTATTAAGGGGATTTGTTCTGTGAAGCCTGGATTCAGTCAAAGGGACACTCTTGAGGACCTAGAGGGGTAAAAGGATTTTGGGGGGGTGTGTGTCATATTCTTTGCCAGCAATTTAATGTGAATTGTAGCTGAAGTAAGGTACTTACTGTTCTGACCTCAGTTCTGGGTCCTGGGAGATGGAAGTGTTTGTTTCTACTTTTCCTGTGTTCAGGGCTAGACATAGACAGAATCGTAGAACAAGATCAAAGCAAACTGGGCTGATTTAGGACCAGTAAAACAGATAGAAATTTATGAGACAAGTAAAAGCTCTAACATTTTGGTCTAATAGGAATATGAGGACCTGACTAGAGTAGTAAAAAGGGGATTGGCAAAAGGAGAGTTGAACTGAGTTCTCCTGCTGTGTGTTCCCTTGTGTAAGGGAAAGTCAAGTCAAATACTCTACCCATTCACCTACCAGTTACTTCCAACAAGTCCAAATACTCTTATTATGGAGTGTATGGTCTCATATCCCAGGTTCCAGGTGCCAGGAGTGGTTGGCTTCCAAAACAGTCATATGGTGGCTCAGTGGGAGATTGTTGCCAAAGACAAATTACTATGGCAATTACTTAGCAGGAGCAAAAAAGAAAGGTTTGAACAGGAATCCGTTTTTTTTTTTTTGCATTCTTCCCCCCCCCCACTCAATAGTATTTTTTCGCCATTACATGTAAAGATCTTTTTCAACATTCATTTTTATAAGATTTTGAGTTCCAAGTTTTTCTCCCTCCCTCCTCTCTCCTTTCCCTAAGACAGCAAGCAATCTGATATAGGTTATACATTTACAATCATGTTAAACATATTTCCACATTAGTCATGTTCTGAAAGAAGAATCAGAACAAAAGGGAAAAACCTTGAGAAAGAAAAAACAAAAAAATGAAAGTAGTATGCTTTGATCTGCATTCAGACTCCATAGTTCTTTCTCTGAATGTGGATAGCATTTTCCATCGTGAGTCTTTTAAAATTGTCTTGGATCATTGTACTGCTGAGAAGAGTTAAATTTATCATAGTTAATCATTGCACAATGTTGCTGTTACTGTGTATAATGTTCTCCTTTTTCTGCTAACTTCATTCAGCATAAGTTCATGTAAGTCTTTCCAGGTTTTTTTGAAATGTGCCTGCTCATCATTTCTTTTTTTTTTTTCCAGCCAAAGACAAGTTTTATTAGAACATCTGCCATATTGCCCAGACTCTTAAGGAATCTGAACATTACTGAGCTATTGGCTATATTTTAAGAATCTGAGTCTCTTAATAGAGACAAGGTTGACTTTATATACAGAAAGACTATGGGACGGATCTAGGAGTGGCCAAGTAGTTTGGGGTGACTGGAGGAGGGGTCTAAAGAGGATCTGAATGAGAGTGGCCAGTAAACTGGGTTGAACAGAACATCAAGGTTCTGGACCAAGTGGCCAAGGAGGAATGGAATCTAGATAGGATTAAGTGTGGGAAGTGGCCAGGGGCAATTGGGACCTAACAGAAAAGAACCGGGAGATTGAGCATAGCCACAATGAAAGGCTAGTTGATAGGATTATAGCTTCACGTGAAGACCAGAGATTTGGTCAGGTGGGAAAGTCCAGGGATTTTTTCCTTTTTGGGGTCTAGATCTCAAAGACATGGTCTTTTCCTTTTAGGGGTTCAGATCCCATCCTCATCATTCCCCCCACAAACAAATGGGACCCAAATTCTTTTGGGGTAAGGAGGTGAAGGTCTTAGCTTCTGAAATTGCTTCCTGCTGGCAAGGGGCATAGAGCCATCACTGTCTGGAGGGAGTCCCAAAGAGGAGGTTGACTAGAACTGAGCACAGGCTGCATCCAGGGAATGATGGGTGGAACATTGGCTGGTACCCGCTATTTACTACCAACTGTAGGTGAATGGCCTATAGTCTGGAAGACATAAATCTGAACACTTTTGCAGGTAGAAGTTTTCCATTCCAGGTTCAATAGTTATACAAATGAATTTAAATTTGCCAGAGGCTGACTTTCACTTCAATTATCACTGAAATTCTCCTCCCTAAACCAAACTGGAGATGTTTTTGATTTAACTTCAGTTGTTTGGGGGTATTGAATGACTACACATTCAGGTCAGAACAGCAAGATCTCACACACTTGCATTGACATTTTACTGACCACTTGCTCTGATTATAGAAATTTGCTATAAAAGGATAAAGCAGGAACAAGATTTACGGCCCAAATATGACAGGATAAAATATCCTTGGTTCTGTTTGGATTTAGATAATTCAGTTTTCCAACCATGCAGTATCAAATCTACCTCATAGCCAGGTGGGTAACATTCCTTTTCAAAGGAATGTAATGGGGAAACTGAGCCAGGAGGATCCCATCTTAGACTGAGGCTAAAATTGTCCTCTCAGCTTTTCCCGATGCTGACTTCCTGCCAGTATCGAATTCTCTCTGAGTAGTGTGTGGCATTTCTCTCAGATGGTGAATTATTGATTATTGATGGATTATTATGATCCATCAGACAATTCAAAATAAAATCCCATGCGCTTTTACTTCAAATAGCAAGTTTCACTAATCACAGCTTAGGAAAAACTTGTCCAGGATTTACATCTCAAATTTAAATTTGTCTTGGTGTAAAAAGCCAATTGTTAAGAGATTATTTCTATATACTTGCAAATTCTCAGCCAGACAAAACCCAAACAAGCTTTTTGGCAAGTTAACACATTAAAACAATGACCAACAATAACCAAATTGTTTTAGCTGTAACCAAATTATGAAAAGTTGCTTGACATAACTGACACAAAAAGTTCACCAATTTGAAACTTGAAACAAACCCACTACCAATCAGGTGACTTTAATTTTGTTAAATGCATTTCCGAATTACTTTACACAGAGAATCAACACCTCATCATTAACAGTTAAAACTACAACTTTAAAAGAGTGTGCTTACCCTAGTTAGGAGGCTAGCTTCTTTACTTTGAGCAGGATGTACTGAACTTGGGTGATGCTTCCAGGCAAAGGTTGCCCCAGGGCCGAAAGCCATTACCAGTGAGGCCCACCCTGTAGCTGCTGCTCTTCCTTCCTCCTTCCTTTCACCAGGTGAGGAAGGGAAAATTTAAAGGTGGGAGGGGAAGGATGAAACTCTCTTCTCCTATGAGAGGGATTAACAAATACCCTCTTGACTCAAGGGAAAGGAGTGGGAGAAAGGAGTGACCGGGGTTATAAGGAAGTGTTTCAAAACTCCTTAATGATTAATTACAAATTCAGAATATGTTAAGATGTTTTTAGCTGTTCTAACTTTTCCCTGTAGCCTCCTTGGAGGAGGATTCCGGGGTGCAGAGGAAAGGGAGTAAGGAAGCCTTAGGGAACCAAAAAGCACCTACAATTTTCCCAATTCCCTAGCGCCAAGAGAATTGACAGAATTGAGATAGGGCGCCCGTCCTTGTCCTCTATGCTGTGGAAGGTGGACCCAGGTCCATGGTTTTGAACTGAACCAGTGGACTGAGAGCCTGAGAGGGTCAGGCCCAATGTGAGACAGCCTCATAACTGTCAGCCTGAAAAGCACCTCCAAGCCTTCCTAGATACTTGGAGAGCGACCCCAACTGCAGGGCAAGAAGGAAGCGGGGAGGCCTACACACCTTCCAGTCTTGGCTCGAGAAGAACTTGGGGTTAGGCAGCTTCCCCATACGGGCCACCAAAATGT